GGGACTGTGTCGCTCTGAGGCAGATGTACTGACGAGCCGGCTGGCTGATCGATGGGATGTGGTCAATCAGCACATTGATCCATATGCTCTGACCTCACTTTGGATGGCTGAGGGGCAAAGTGGGTGCCTGTGTGTGTGCTGGTTTATATACAAGTGCGTGTGCTGACATAGCATAAGGTTATGTAACTGCACATCAATTAACCCCCACCCCCCGTTAAGGAAACCTACAGTTTGGCAAGCATGAAATCATATACACTTTCACATTCAACACTCATTAACAGAGCTCACACTGACATTTTTTGCAGCATTGCATCATGAAAATAAGCTTCCTAAGACTTTAGATTTGCGATTAATTCACCACAATGAGCATTTTGTTGCCCGTCTTTTTTTTTTTAAGATTACATCACGGTCATATGTTAATCCAGCTGAGAGCAGGGCCTCTATCAAATACTCTTACTTCAAAGAGGAAAATGACATTTCACAAAATAAACTGTAATAATATTGTAATAAGTGGGTGCTGTGATTTCATATCCTCTTCCAAAGGCCTGACAGTGGATTTTCATTGTGTGTGTGTGTCTTGCCTGAAACAGTTGCCTGAAAGGTAGAAAATTATCAGAGTATTTCACAATGTGCTTTGGAGAACAGTCTGCCGTTATCCTCTCCCCCTCCCAACCCTGTCCTGAAATCACCTTCATTAGCCTTTCATCTAACATAAGGCAAGTTGACACAAAATGAGGGGAAGCAGTGGAACGAGATCACATGTTATAACTGGAGACAAAACTTGCAGACCTAAAACAAACAGCTCTTTATTCCCTTACATACAAATCTACGTGTAGCAGTCCAACATCACAGTCTTAACGTTAAATGATGGGAAACCATAGTATAGTTTTCTCCTCTGCATAGCTGAGTACATCTCTGAAAGGACAGTAAAACTAATAAATAAGTAAAAAAACAAACTTATCTTGAGCTGCAATGCTGCGTTTTCAGAGGGGGGTTAAAGAAAACAACAGCTCCTGTTTCTGCGAGTGCAAAGAGACAGGAGGAATGCGATGAACTGTGAAAGGGCGACTGCAAGTCGAACCTGAGATGCCCAAACCAGATGCAATGCAAGTCCGAACAGCTCCTGTGTCACAGATAACGAGGGTAAAGCTGCATGATAATAGAATGGAAAACAAGTCGCCCCTACATGGTCTCATTTCACATTAGAAAAAGACGACTCCATGACTTTGGTTGGAGGTTGATATTGGCATTTATAGAAAGTATAAGAGTAACGGAGACAGAAGAAACACCCTTCAACCATGTTATGAGTGTTGATGTTGCATAGTTCAGCCACTAGAGGGCACTCTGCAAATTCCCCGTTGGAAACACTTTCTTGTAAGGCCACGAACACAACAAACAGCTAATCTGAGCAGAGTGCAAATAACTTAAAAATGACCACACGTAACAAGTGTTAGAGAAATCCGTTTCTCATGAAAGAAAAACCATATCGGCCGATATGCTGGAATACTGGATTCTTAAATGACCAAATATCGGTATCGGCTTTTATAATGTGGTATCAGTCAGACTCCAGCTGTTATATCCATACACACCTGCAGTGTGACAACGACAGACTGCAGCACAGCTAAGGAATATGAATAACAGAAGTGGAGGCTCTGACGAAGAGCTCAGTGCAAATGTTTGACACTGGAAGAGAGCGTTTAATAATAAACATAAGGTAAACATCTTCTTCTTCCTTCTTGATCCTATCCCTAGCATCTTCCTCCGCATGTTCTCCTTCACAACATCCACGAATCTTCTCTATGGTCTTCCTCTTTTCCTCCTGCCTGGCAGCTCCATATTTAACATCCTTTGTTCAGTATATCCACTATCCCTCCTCTGCACATGTCCAAACCATCCCCGCCTTGCCTCGCTAACGTTGTCATAAATATGAAGGCCCACTTCATTGTAAAAGGCTCTGAACTGAAACCAGAGGTTTCACTGGATAGGGATGGCTTCAGTCTTGATACTGAATGAAACTAGAGTTAAACATATATTTGTTACCGATTAAAGTGGACATATTGTGTAGCTGTTAAGTGTAGTTATATTTCTGTGAAGGAAAAAATCAGTGCTGCAGACTTTTAAGTCGGGCATTACACTGGACCTTGGTGCAGGCCCTTGGTTTATCTACCTACTGAAACAACCTTTTTCCCCTTTAAATCAACTAGCCTCTCACTGGCTACAATTCACAAACAGACGGTTTGAACATCAGGTTACAACAAGAGAGGAAGCTTCAGTGTGAAATGGAGCCTTTAGGAGATAGATGCTGGTATTGTAACATGAAACTGGTGGTTTAGAAAAGTCTTGTTCTGAAGCAATCACACTCTTATCATTTTTCATGTTTTTTAAACTGACTATACAGAAAGAGGGGCAGATTTGATTGTGAAACCAGCTAACAACTTGTCAAACGTTAGCCGACTAATCAAAATCTTCCAAAATGGACTCTAGTAGGTCCGTAACCATGAGTATCACCCCCTGGTGGATATTACAAAGAATCTTGGTTGAAGGTACTGTCATGTTAGTTTCACTTTTCAGACCTGGAAGCCACCACCATCTTTTATACTGTCTGTAATAGGAACCTGAAGCTGGAGGGGAGGGCGGACCTCTTGTGAGCAGAAAACAAGCATAATAAGGTCCTAAAGTCCTTGCCATCATATTGTAGTCTTTTTCAGTTTCACCCACTGGTGTGGCAAAGGCTCACGTTTGAATTTTGGGAATAGAAGACCAACAGTATTGATTCCTTACGCAATAATAACCGACAGGTGAAACCTGGGAATACTTTTTCCTAGCTGTTCACTGTGAACAGGAACATGAAACAAGCAGTCAAGCAATGGCATGCATACCACAGCCTAATAGACCACATAAAATACACTATGCAGATACAGTGTCTAGGATTTCCTTCCACCTGCACATGCAAAACTGTGGCTTTCACCTACACACACGCACACCTACACACACGCATACACAGCTACAGATCAAACGCATACCCAGTCTTCGTAGTGCCTGGTTCCGTTCTGCAGCAGGTCCTCCAGCTGGATGGTGCAGTTGGCCACAAAGTCATCATACCCGATGGGTGCATCGTGGAACACTGACAGCTCCAGGCTCCTTCCCTCACGCACCTCGGTGCAGAACTCCTGGTGCCAAACGGGACTGTTGGTCTTGGTTCTGGTGGCGGTCTGGCCTAGTCGGGTCTGATCCAGATTCAGAGCCAGGTAGGGGTCCAGCAGGAAGGAGCCGCTCTTCCCCACTGCGTGACGCAGCGCCCATGGAGTGGGCTTTAGGTCCACCGCCTCACAAACCCGCACCTTCAACAGACCACTGAACACAGGCATGGCTGCTGGGAAGTGTGTGTGCGTAAAAGGACGAGTGTGTGTGTGTGTGTGTGTGTGTGTGTGTGTGTGTGTGTGTGTGTGTGTGTGTGTGTGTGTGTGTGTGTGTTTAGGCTAGTCTGCCTGTTCCTGCTCCTGTACACAGAGTGTTTCCTTCCAATGAGCGGGGTCACTGCACAGTCCTGCTACATCCCATAATCCCGCTGGCTCCTTGGACTCTCAGTCTAGTACAGCCATATCAGAACAGCTCGTTATCCACACACGCGCGCAGAGACGCCAACAGGGCAGCTGACTGATCCCCAGCAGACTGAAAAACGCAGAAATAACGCGGACTCACACCCTTCAGGGGTCTCCTGGTGGACGCTCTCCCACCGAGGCGGCTGCCTTGTTTGTTTACGATCGGTCTCGTGAGCCACACAAAATTCCTGTTACCGCGGAAACAGAACGGGGTATAAACGTCTCTGATCAGAAACGCAGGTTGACTGGCTCACGTTCACGTGAAGTCCCGGAGCTTCCCCGCGGTCCTCGTGTGTCTCTCCCGGGTCAGGGTGGAAGAGAGCGCGACCAGCCGCGCCTAGCCATCCGGGATTGGTGCTCCTCTTCCAGCCCGTCTCGGCTCACTCGCTCCTCTCCTGGATAATCTCCTTCCTAAGACCTCACGGCACCGCGATATTTGCGCGTAACCCTCGGAAAGCAGTGCCTTTTATTGCCCCCCCACCCCCCCAAATGAAGGTTTTTTGGGGGGTTCACGAGCACCCCAAACACATCCCAGTGCTCCGCTCCCGTTTCGCTTTTTTTTCTCCTTTCGCTCTCTGCGCGCTCCCCTCGCTTCCCGTCCCCTCGCTCCTGAATCTGTGAGTGAGCGCGAGCTGCAGGAAATGCGCAAAACGCGTCACCCGCGTTGCCGGGCTTCTGCGCCGGATGAGAGAAAAGAAAGACAGAGAGAATCTGTGTGTGCGTGTGCTCAGCTGGAAGAGGTGTTTTTAAAAGAGGGGCGATGGAATTCACCCGCAGGCGTGGAGTAATGTGTATGTGTGAACGCGCGTGTCATGGCCAGACAGCCCACAGAGCCCATCAGTCCTCATGCATGACCACAGACAGCCTCACGCACAGTTAGAGAGTCTGAAGAGACAGGGATGATATTGTTGAGTAAATCTGGTGGCAGCACTTTATAATACAGCCCGCGTTTTACCACACCCTGAATATAGGATGTGATTTTCAGGTTCCTAAAATACTACAGATTCCCAATGATACTTAAAAAATGAGTCATAGTCAACAGTTGTTTGTTGTTTTTAAGATTAAATCATTTTAACACTAAACATTTTTAAGTAATAAAGCTTTATTAAAGAGTATCCCAACTGCCTTTTACACAAATTTTATTTCATTGTTTGCAAGCTTTGATGGTTTCACAGGGAAAATTGAAAAGTTATGACACTGTCCGCGTCGATTTTCTGTCAGACTTTCTGCCCTTGTCATCTGCTCTGTGCAGATTGACATGTCTTCCTAAAAAGAGAGACAGACAGACAGACAGAGAAAATACAGACTAGGCCTATTTTAAGCAACGTGGAGCAGAGAGCCGCTTGGACACTTTTGGTACGTCTGGTAGAATTACAAGCATTGTCTTGAGCAGGTGCAGTCGGCTCCAGTGGTGATGAAAAGCCGGAACCATGTCTGTTGTATTCCTGGGGTTAGGCTTTATTATAAAGGGTTTCAACCCTGCTTTGTATTTAATTAGGGTTCCAGGATGCCTTTTACAGTAATCTAAGCATCCCTTCTTACATTGTAGATACTAACAGAGCTACAGTCTGTATTATAAAGTGTTCCAGGCTTCATTATATTATAGAGTATCCCAAAGAGCACTTCTTATTTTGTAATTACACATTAATAGGTGTCTAGGCTGTATTTTAGAGTAGTCTAATATGCTTCAAGATACAATACATACTAATAAATCTTCAGGCTGCATTACTTCCCTATATCCTGAAGCTCCTAAATCCCTTCTTATTTTGTAATCAGACATTACTACTAGGGGTGAAGGCTGTATAATAGATTATCCTAAAGATCCTGTCTTATTTTTGTAATTACATGTTACTATTAGGGGTCCAGGCTGCCTTTTAGAGTAGGCTAACCTTCTCTTCTTACATTGTAATTACACCACAATAATAGATTCAGCATATTTACATAATAAATGTTCTGAAATGTCATCATCAAATCATCACCAAATAACTTCATTTAACTAGATTTAGAGATTAATTCAAATTTTAACAGACTATAAAAAGGGTTGGTGGGTTTTATCCACATATACAGGGAGGAGGTAGAGCCTCCTTAAAAATTCATATTCTTTCATTACATTTCATGTGATAATAAAAAAACATTACATTGAATTATATTTTTTTAATAAATTGCCCATTTTCTATAAAATTATCATATTCACCCAAAATGTCTACAGTTTCTTTCCCCAAATAGAAACTTAGAATAGTTCCAAAATATTACATGAAAATGCTCCAGAACCTCTGTTTTCAAATTTCTTCTCACATGAAAGAGCCCTGAAAGTAAGAAACCATCTACACTTTTTCAAATTACTGGAATAGTATTTTAGTATCTTATAAAGTACTACAGTAATACTGGCTACTCCTATAAGAGTATAATATATGTTTGACTGGTTTTTAAATCAGCAGTGAGTGATGCAATTTCAGAAATGTCCCAAGACATGCCAGTACTCAAAACAATCAAATTTAGAAATATATTCATTACTTATGCTGTTCTAAACTTTATTTAAAACTACACCACAAGCATAGCGCTGTTTTTGTCATAAATCTTCTGGACTCTATGTTAGTGAAGCCCTGACCTCCTGTGCACTCGCTCAAGCAACATACACATCCTGGAACTTATAACTGCAAAGTATCTGCTAAAACCCCAGCTTTTCCCTGCTGTCTGCCTCCACTAGTCCTTAAACAGAGCGAAACCATAATCAAACGTCATCATTGCTTCTCCTCCGAACGTGCTGCTTGTTTATTCCTTTGTTGGTTTGGAATTGAAATATAACTCTTACAATTACAGCTGCTGAAAACATAACAAACACATCTTCACAAAGAGCCTCTTGGCCATGTCTTTTTTTCATATTTTTCCCTATGGAGGAATCTGAGCATCTTAACCATGGAGCCAGTGGTAGAAGAGGTACCCAGGTCTTATCACAAGCAAAAGTCTTCTTTTGGATACTCACTTAGGCCACAGTGGCCTCTATCGTATCCTATGCCTAGTATCCTTGTTTGTCACACCAACCCTCTGTGTGTCCTCCTACTTCCATTACTGTGGCCTGTCTGGCAGCTCAATTTTCTATACCCTTTACCCAATATATCCACCATCCCTCCTCTTCACATGTCCAAACTCTCTCAAGCTTACCTCTATACTTTGTCTCTAAAGGTGTCCCCCTGACATACTCATTTCTAATTCTGTCCAGTGAAAACAGTAGCATCTTCCACTCCGCTACATCCAGCTGGGTCTCCTGTCTGAAATAATGTATTATTTATTTATTTAGATATCAAATTATGATCTAGTAAATTAAATAGAATGATGAGTAAAATGTCATCATATCATCAGAGACTGTTTATTAACGCCTATGCAGTTTATGATCAGGCCTGTCCAACTGCGCCACCTGCTGGTGCAAGAAAAGTATCACCGGAAGGATGACGCTATCAGTCGTGATGTCACTGAACGCTGTGTTCAAGTGCAGCTCGGAGATCGTTGCCATTTTGCAATGGTCAGGAGGAAAAAGGTCGTCCAGTCGTCTGTGCTGGAAAACCATTGCATGTTAAAACAAAATGCTATTCTGATCTTCTCGCGCTTCACAGGATAGTGTGACTCACGCCGAACCAAGATAAATGCCAAGAAATATGAGTCAGTTGTCTCAGAAATACTACCCAAGTGGTGGAGCCAGACTAATGTTAGAGATGATGGTTTAAAAATATAGATATATATATAAAAGTCTCTCTCTCTCTGTTTCTTTCTTCTTCTTCTTTTTTTTTTACTTAAAATGTACAATACATTAAAAACCCCAATAAAGGCAGTAGTGGTGCAGTAAAGTCCGGTTATATTACTGTAGAGTGGGTGAATCACTATTGAAGTATTGTATCAACTACTGCATAGTTTCAGCTTTAACAGATTGGACTTACATAAACGGGTAAAAACCAATGACTGTTTTCTACAGAAATTGAATTTAATGTTACCACTAGGTGGCGCCGGTGTGCATTTACTTTGTTAAATAGCGTTTCCAGAAAGTGAGAGTATTTAAATAATATCTATCCATATATGTAGGCGTAGTTTGCATGTATGCAGGTGTATAAAAATATTTGGCATACAAAAAAGGTCACTGTGTGGACCGGAACCGAGGGCATTTTGCGGGAAAGTCAGGTTAAACATACTGATCGCAAAAGTAGGCAAAAATAAACGAATACTTACGGAAAATCCCGCTGCACGATTATTAAACGTATTCTGCACGGTTTTAATACTCAACTGGTTGAAAAAAGGGATAGTTTGAGTTAATTAAGCAAAGTTTTTATTTGCAATTCTATATGTATGTTTTTTCCCTTATTTGGGGTTTTGGATCAATCAGAAAACAACAAAGCTTTGATAAGCTTTATATGCTTTGATAAATCCCTTTAGGTAACCCCTTAAGAACACATTTTAGGCTGAAGCCACATGCGAGTCATTTGCAATAAATACTAGTAAATACTAGTATTTACTGTAATCATAAATTGTGATCATAAATTGTGTTTTTTTGTGTGTGTTAACTGTTTATATGACAGGTTTTTGGTTACGGATCATTACAAAAGTATTCATAACAGTGATATAATAAATAACTTTATTTCTATAAAATACCAAAAAACATTTATTCAGCATTAAAATGAACATCAAGTAGACAGAACATGGCTACACAGTAAATTTTAAATAACGAAAAGATGGCAAGTTGACAAAAAACGGTTATTAAAATACAAACAGACAGGGAGCAGGCAGAATTCAGTGGTGCTGACTGATTGTCTACAGTAAACATTTAGGAGTCCACCTTGA